TCCCCTCCCCTCTTGCGTAGCGAGCCGTAGAAATTAAGCCGCGTCCGGGATTGAAACAAGCGAAGGAAGGATTGGTCAAAGCTGGTCATGCTAGCTGCTCCTGCTTGAGATGCATGCATGCATGCGTGTCGGTCCCACCCTCCATCCATCCATCCAGGGAAGGCGCGCGGTGGTCTGTCCTGGGTGGCGTGCAGTGCACGTCGCCGGCCGGCCGGCGTGTGGCCGCGCATCGACACAGCCTCCTGCATGCTCCGCCTCCCCTCCACCACCGTGGCCAAGCTCAACGAGTCCCTCCTTCCTCCCCGTCCACGCGGGCGGAGAGGACATGTCCTGCGTCGCTGCCAATCTGTTCTCTACAATATTCCTCAGACGCGCACGACTTGTTTCGGCCGACCCCAAGATCCCGTCGCCGGCCGGAGCTCCCATGCCCTCTTCCTCGTCGGTCATCTCCGACTTCCCGGCCGCCAAAGCAACATCATTTTCTCCAATTCCTCTCACTCCCAACCCACGCTCCAATTTCACCACGCCAGCGATCGACGTCCTTGGATCGGAGCCACCTCACCTGCAGGCGGCAAACCCACGCCCATCTTTGCTAGCGGCCGGAGTCAGCCTCAGTCAGCCATCGAGAAAGCTCGCTGCCAAACCTAGGCCAGGCCCGCGGTGTCGTCGCTCCCAGCTCGCCGTCATCCACAGAAACAACGGGAGACAGACCCAAACAATTCATTTCATTTTTAGCGCGCGGCGCGTTGCGCGGCTGTTGGAGATGCTCTTAGACGCTGCGGCAGGGTCGCACAAAACGATTTTCCCGGCGACCAAGCTGGCGTTCAGCTTCCCAGCTTCGCAGGTTTTCGAGCCGACGGTCCGGCCATGCACGAGCGGTGTCTCGGTAGCGCCAAGCGGCGGGCCAGCGTAGAGCGAAGCGCCAGAAAAGGTATCGCCGTTGCCGAGGACGACGTCCGCCGGGAAATGGCGGTTGATGGTGAACGCGCCGACGGTCAAGAACCAGGGCGCGATATTGTTGCCGGTGGACTCAGCTGGGCCGGAGTTCCCCGCTACGGCAGAGACGATGATGCCCTTGCGGACGGCGCTGAAGGCGCCCACGGCGGTGGAGTCCACATAAAACGGCTCCGCGTAGCCGGAGGAGCCGAATGAAGCGGAGATGACGTCGACCCCGTCGGCGATGGCCTCGTCGAACGCCGCGAGGATGTCGGAGGTTGCGCATCCGCATTTCCAGCACACTTTGTAGGAGGCTACGCGCGCGCCCGGGGCCATGCCGACGGCGTTCCCTCTGCCGTAGCCGTAGAAAGCCGCGTCCGGGACGGCAGAGCCGGCGGCGGTGGAGGCGGTGTGGGTGCCATGGCCGAGGGTGTCGAGCGGCGACTTGGACTCCTCCGTCTCGTTGATCGGGCCTCCAAGTTGAACCTCATACCCCACGTAGAAGACCTTGGCGCCGACGAGCTTGCCATTGCAGTAGGCGGAGGCGTTGAACGACGGAGCCGAGACGCAGGCACCGCGGAACTTGCCGGGCGGCGGCGGCAGCAACGGGCCCGCCGCGAACTCCGCGCGGTCGATGGGGTACACGCCGGTGTCGAGGACGCCGATGACGACGTCCGTGGCGCCGTTGGACGCTGGTAGCAAGCCCGACGATGCCGACAGGCCGAGGAAGGATGGCGTCAGCGTGGTGTGTAGCTGCTGCATCACATCGGGCACGACGGCGAGCACGGAGCGCTGGGCCGCGAGGTGCGCGGCCTGGCGACCCGTGAGGCGAGCCGCGAAGCCCGTGGCGGCGTGGGAGTAGGAATAGAGCACCCGCGGCGCCGGAAGGGACATGTCCGCCGGCATGCGGTCACGCAGGAATGAGGCGTACGCCCGGGTATTGAGCAGGCCACGGCACGGCAGCGGCGGCGCGTGCGCGCGAGCGACATGCACGATGCAGCAGGACCGCTCCTCCTCCTTTTCCCTCGCCGGCGACGCCGCGGCGGTGGCAACGATGGCGAGCTGGACGCACAGAAGCGCGAGTGGTCTGGCATCGTTGCACGGAGAGAAATACGCGGCGGCGGTGTTGTGTACTGTGAAGTACGGTGATCGGAGTCGCGAATAAGTAGGCGTCCGTCTATAATTTCATGTCCGTCAGAGTTGGCTGGATGAGTAAAGGCGTCAGATTCATCTTCGGTTGAGCCGCATCGATCGTTGTGGAGGAGCCAACAATCATGTGAGATGTTCACCGGATCCAAATCCATCGAAATTACTTAATTGTGGGTTATCTGGAAGCAGCATTCATTCATGTAGTCCTTATCCCAACCAGACGGTTTTATGCTCGTGAAACAGTAACAGTATGTTTTGCATTGCTCAGTCGGACATTTTGGCCGACTGAGATTTAATGAAGTCTGGGTTGATGTTATATTCATGAGCTCTTACATAAAGATTCATGAAAAAAAATCATTTTTATATGTTTTAATTTGACTAAGACTTTGTTAAATCTCAGTCCATGGCGATCTAACCATACCCTTAGGGTGTGTTCGGTTCGGGAACGAAGTGGAATGGAATGGAACGGTTCCATTCCACTGGAGCGGGTTGGTTCCGTCCCTATGTTCGGTTAGGATAATTATGTGGAACGGAATGGCTACATTCCAGTGTTTGGTTAGGATAATGGAACGGAATGAATTTGGTTAGAAATGGAGAGATTATCTCTCGGAATTGCTACATTTAAATAGAACAATATTTTTTTATCAATAAATTATTTGAATTGTCAGCGAAAATTCAATTGTTATTATAGTTTGGACAATTTATAAATTTTGTCACTATACACAAGAAATAATTGCCATTACCATCCACCCTTCCTGGTTCAGACTCTGGCATATACGAACAATTCAGAGTTCAGACTCGCTCATGCACCAACAATTCAGAGTTCATACTCGACATTGCAACACACGCATTTGCTAATTGCAGTTTACAATCAGTAGCAAAAGTTTTCCTCCTTTTTTACTAGCAAAAGAAGATGAAGCTCTCGAACTGCACGGCGTACAGCACCAGAACAGTCAGCACCAGAACAGTCAGCACCGCGGTGAACACCCCCATGGCGCAGAGGTCTGCAACGGCTTCCTTGCCGGCTCGCTCTCGGCCAAATGGGCCGCCGCCAAGCCTCTCTTCCACGCGAGCCGCCTCCGCTCGCCCACTGCTAGTCTGCTGCCGCGTTGCTGGTGCACGCCATTAGAGAGGGATAGTCAAAGCCGGAGAGGGAGAGAGGAGGGAGCGGCCGGCGGCGTCGCAGATCGAGCAGGAGAGACAAGGGGGTGGCCGCCGGCGTCACAGATCGAGGGGGAGAGACGAGGGGGGTGGCCGCCGGCGTCGCAGATCGAGTGGGGAGAGACGAGGGGGTGGCGGCGCTGAGATTGGGGGTGAGCGAGAGTCAGGGGAAGGCGTGAGACTGGGGCGTTCCGCGTCGTCCGGCCAATTCGAAGGCACGACCTGGTTCGGCATATCGACCGAATATGCCGTTCCAGGAATGAGTGGGTTCCGGTTCCTCGGGTCAACCATACACGAGAATGGTACTTCGGGACGGAACCGACCCATGCCGTCCCATTCGGTCACATAAACCAAACATATCCTTAGGAAAATGGTATCTGGCTAACGCCCATGATGGCATCACGACCTTTCTCGGCCGTCTATTTCTTTGCACGGATCTCAAGGCAGAGAAGAGAGTCACGGCATATTTTTACTAGTTCGCTACACAACAAAATAAACGCAAATGATCTCATTACAAATGTTACAAATGCGTGGGCTAGCTAATTGGTTAGGGCCGTACACCTGGGAGACCTGGTTCCAAATCCTCCTCCATTTTACTCCTTTTGTAAATAAATATAAGACGTTTCTGAGACTTTACAGAGGCAATACTTTTTTAGCAGGGATGGCAAAATATGCACACAAAAATTACAATAAATCCATAGATGAAAAAATTACAATAAAAAACCTTTTCTTCACTAGGTGGCAAATCTTTTTTAGATATATGACAAAATTATTTTTCCTTTTGTCCCTTTTTTTTCAATTCATCCATGGCAAAAAAAAATGTATTTTACCATGGCAATTATAGTTTTTTGACCATGTCAAAATTATTTTTTGACTATGGCAAATTTAGTTTTTGAACTTTGGCAAAAAAGAAATTTGTGGCATGGCAAAAAATTGGAACATGGAAAATTTCACAGCATAACACAATATGCCATGGCAAAATTGCCATGGGTATAGATTTTTTTCCTTTCAAACCATTTTTCGTTTTTGTAATTATATCGTCTTGGTAGCATGGCAATTGTAAATTTTAATAGTGTTTCACATAGTCTCATGGGAATTTCACAATTTTTCGGTTTTAAAAAACGACATTTTTTTGCAACTTACTATGCATTATTGTTTTTACATGGCAATTTTTTCAAAAAAAAACAGCTAATTGGGCCTAACCCATTTTTCTGCATGTTCCATAATTTGTTGTGCCAGCTAGGGTCGCCGGGAAACTCCCCCTAGGGCAAACGAATCATTCGCCCAGGTTCCCGCAAGAGCTGTCAATCGTATCTTGTTTCATAAAAGGTGAATTGTACAACTCATAATGTCGCATCAAGATGATACAAGCACCAAGAGCATACATTCAGCCTTTGTACGAAGTAAGCACACAATAACACCGACCCATAAAGAAAAGAAAAAAGGAACATCCAAAAATTCTGTCAAAGCGAACTCAAAAATGCAGTTGCAACCGTCAACATCACCTATCACCAATGACGTGGCTCATGTCATATCGATGACACAAATGGAAATCTAGCCTGTCATTACACATGACCATTTTATTCCTCCCAAGCTTCTGTATGATGTATCTTGTAGGGCATAAACATGACATGAATAAATACCCATGTTCCCCTAAACGAATCTGAACATAGAATTTTAATTTTGTCAACTTATATTATTGACAACAATATAGCTTGTCTTTGTACAATTTGCTACTTGTGTAAGGACAACCTATGTTTGGGTGGCGTGAAGCTAACTGCCCCCAAAATCGGTACTCCGTCCGATCCATATTACTTGCCGTCAAACGGATGCATCTAGGTGTATTTAGTGCTAGATGGATCGGAGGAGTAGTTTGGTTGGAAAAATATTTCAAAAAAGGTGGCAAGTTGGTGAGCCAACTTTAAATTTTTTGGTCTGGTGATAGTTACCAGTTTTTTCATGCTACAAGAAATGACTAATTTTACCCCGTACTTGACATTTTTCAGTGTTAGTGTGTGCCTTTGTGGGTTATTCCAAAGGATGGTTTTGAGATTTAGTGGACAAAATAACTTCCATTTGATTCACTTCACGTAATGCACCATGAAGAATTCAAATGATGGTTTTAGGGCATTACTACGCAGATAACTACAATGTAATACTCCCAAGAGACAATTACCTCCTCGGATCATTGTACGAAGTTGCATCAATTACCCCCGGGCAACAAATTTTACATACATATACAAAGATTACGCACAAAATAGTCAAAACCAAGCTTGCCCGATCCATATCAACTGTTTTTTTAGTACAGATCCAATATCAACTTTAGATGCTAAATCTAACCGATATTAAGAGTTAATCATTAAAGTTAGCCATGATGGCATTCTCTCGAAAATAAAAAGTTGATATATTGAAGGTTGAAAGAGAGTTTAGAAACGAAAGCATCACTTGTCGATAAGTTGAGGGATGGAAAATGCAATTTATTTTTATTTTACTAGTAAAAAAATAGAACAGAGACCTCATCAGTGAGGGAGTGAGACTGCCTCGTGGGTCCAATCAATGTGGAGTCCTTTGAAACCTCACGACGCCAGCAAACCTCCTCCCGCCCCGCTCCGGCGCCCCCGCCTGCATGCCGCCGGCGGCCCCGCTTCCGGCGCTCCTCACCGGCCTCGCCAACCGCGCGACAACCCCAGCCGCGGCGAGGCAGCTGCACGCGCAGCTCCTCCTGCGCGGCCTCCCGCTCCCCGCCCGCGCCGCCGTCACCCTCCTTGCCGCATCCTCCTCCTCCCCGCGCTACGCCCGCGCCATCTTCGACAGCGTCCCCGCCGCCTCCGCCAACGTCTACCTCTGGACGGCAACCATATCCTCCTACGCCAAGCACGCCTCCTCCCCCGCGCTCGCCGCCGAGGCGTTCGCTCTGTTCCGGCTCATGCTCCGGTCAGGCCCGCCACCCAACGCCTTCACCGTGAGCTCCGTGCTCAAGTCCCTCTCGACGCTCCGAGGGGTCTGCGAGGTGTGCCAGGTGCACGGGTTCTTGGTGAAGGCGGGCCTAGGCTCCTCCGTGCACGTGGGCTCTGCATTGCTCGATTCGTATGGGAATCTTGGCCTGGTGAGGGACGCAAGGAGGGTGTTCGATGAAATGCCTGCGAGGAACGTGGTGGTTGGAAACGCCATGGTAGCATGTTATGCCAGAGCAGGGGATGTGGAGGCTGCGCAGGAAATGTTCGACGGTATGGCGGAGAGGGACCTCATCTCCTGGAACACGCTCATGTCAGGGTACCTGCGGCAAGGCGATGCTGGCGTCGCGAGGGGCCTGTTTGATCAGATGCCGCAGAGGAATGTGCACAGCTGGAACATGATGGTCACCGCGTGTTCCCAGGCAGGGCTGTGGGCTGACTCAGTAGCGGTGTTCAATCGGATGCGGCTGGTGGGTTTCCACCCCGATGCTGCAACAATGGCCGTGTTGATGTCCGCATGCGCACAGCTAGGCTCCTTGTCAGTTGCAAGGCAGGTGCACGGACTTTTACACAAGGGCTGTGTCGAGATGAACTGCCATGTGCGGAATTCTTTGATCGACATGTTTGCAAAGTGCGGTTGCATTACTGAAGCTCGTTTCTTGTTTGGCGAGACACGTCTGAAGGATGTGGTGTCTTACAATGTGATGGTCACTGCTCTTGCGCAACATGGACATGGCAAAGATACACTGAAGCTTTTCAATGACATGATTGAGGAAGGATTGCGGCCTGATGCAGTGACATTTCTTGGCGTGATATCAGCTTGCGCACATGCTGGGCTAGTGGACGATGGAAAGCACTATTTTGAGTCCATGGGAACAACGTACGCAATTCAGAAATCTGCAGATCATTATGCTTGCATGGTGGATCTCTATGGCCGAGCTGGGCTTATTGAAGAAGCACACTCCTTTGTGAAGGTAATGCCGGTGAAGCCACATGCAGGTGTCTGGGGAGCATTGCTCAGTGCCTGCCGGAAGCATTGCAATGTTGATGTAGGTGAGGTCGCCGCAAGAGAACTCGTCAGGATCGAACCCATGAATGCTGGCAACTACGTTCTCCTTGCAAACACACTAGCTCGAAACCAGCGATGGGATTCGGTTGAGGATGTACGACGACTGATGAGGGGAAATGTTGTTGAAAAAGATATAGGGCTCAGCTGGGTTGAAGTAGACACTGTTGTTCATGAGTTCTTGACGGGGGATTTCAGCCACCCCAGTTTTAATCAAATTTACAACATTCTGGAGCATCTGTATCTGCAACCAACCTAAGACTAAGAATTATCACTTCTTACTGCTAAATTTCATTATACATGGCGACAGGACAACACAACTACCATGAAACATTGAAATGTATACATGCACTTTAATGAGAAGAGAGGCCTCCGAGAAGCCGAAATGTATGAGCTTAGGGTAGTTCTAATTCACAATGCCTGAAGGATTAAGATCAAGGCTATCAAGTGTAGTATCATGGAGGTAGTGTCTCAATGACAGTCTAGTTTTATATGGCAGCAGAAATAGTGCAAAAAATTAGAGAAACATGCAAACAGTGTTTTGCTCGTCTTTTCATTAAGAGGAAAAGCAAATGTATATACAAGAGTCCATAGGTTTGGTCGATGAAGGCCCCCAGTCACCACCAAGTACATGTAACCCTTTCATATTCAGGCAACACTGTACAGCACCAAAAAAAAAAAAAACCTTTAGCCTGTCTCTTGTGGTGGAAAGTCCGATTAAGGTAAGCTATTTACTTTGTGTGTGTTGTGAACAATTTATGTTAGAAAAAGCACATACAAACGTGCATAGAAAGATGGAACAAACGAGCTTTACTGAACATACATAAGCTCGTTTCTTTCTTTTTCCTATGCAATTTTGCTTGTTTTATTGCAATGGGGTGCCATAACTGGCAATGCATCATAATTAAATCTTACAGATTATTTTTTGAAATTTACATAGCATACATGGTGCTTAAGATTGAAAGCATGATTTGTATTGTATTTGAGTGCTGTATGTATATATTATGTAGTCCTAGCTTTATTGTCATGAGGGTGTCAACTGGTTAGTCTTTTTCCTTGTTTTGATTACCTTGTGACAGAATGAAAACATCACCAGATCTCTGGTTTTTGTTAATGTTATCGCAGAATGCAATGTCTTCATGATCTCTACATTTTCCCCGTTCTTCAGTAAACAATAGCATATTGAACCAATGTGCGGTTTCTGTAAAGTAGAAATAAAAATATCATACCGTGAGGCTCCCTTTTAGATACCTAAAACTAATGACAATGTAGATTCCATACTGCACGAGGAATCTAAACGAGCTGATGGTTTGAATTTAAATGCCATTTTGTTAACAATTTACATGCTGAAGAATCCCTGCAATTAGTATATGAGAGGAATATTTGTCCTTCTAGTACCAAAATTTTGGAGAACATTAATGATTCCATCAGAGTTCATAATAATTGAATCTCCATTCATTCTTCTCTTTCTCATCATTCTTTTCTCCAGTCTGGCAGAAATTTGAAGAGAACAGTGAATAAGTTGATGCTTTAGAATTAAATAATGGTGTGTTTCAGTTACCTCTACTATTCCTAATGGCTCTGAGTCAGGCACATGAAGTTTTTTTCTTTTCTAAATTTCGTGACTTAATGAAGAGGAGACCGAGTATCTTTGATCTTGAAGAGTCGGGCCAATCCAACCGCTTGCTCCTGCCACTCCTTTTCGGCAGTTGTTATACAGCTATGTTAACTGGCAGTTCACAAAAGGTACGTATGTCCTAAAATTTTGCAGTGGCAGCTAGATTACTATGTAACGTGTCACCATTAGAGAGCCAATGCAAACTCGTTTGCACGAATGTAGTTATCTCATCTCCAGTGATAGTTTGATAATCATTATTTCTATTCATTCACTACAGAATACAGATCGAGGTTACTATTTTTGGTTTTTGCCAGTTAACATTCTGTGCACCAGGAGTACAGGGCACTAGGCAGGCTCTAAACATAACAATCACTATCACAAAAATCAGAACCCAAGTTCTGACTCTTACTTCTTTCCTGACTTTGAAGGCCCTACACGATGAAAGCGGCATAAGACACAATGTATTTTTCACAATAGGCTTCATAGCAAAGCAGCATCCTCCTTTAACCTTATTGGGCTCACCATTTTCATAGCCTGGAACCCACAGATTAAGTGCTTGATACATAGTTGTAAGTGCAAGCAAAGAAAAGGACATGAAGCAACTAAACAAAAGAAGTCGCGGTTCCTAGATATAAGCACTACGTGATAAGATAGGGTACTGCAATGCTTAGGCTTCATCCTTGCCATAGCCTACATCCTCGCCATAGCCGACTTGACGACATCCAAGATTCTGAAGTAGTGGTAGAACAAAGAAGATTGCTCGCCCTCCAAGCCATCACGGTGGTGTCGGTTGCTCCCGGCAAGATTGTTACATGGGCTGCCCCCAATCACCAAGTCGAAGCCGCCAAATCTACCAACGTATGATGCAATTATATCAGGTGTGAGAGATTTCACATCAGCAATCTCAATCAGCGTGCCTGTCTGGGTCTGATCCCACCAACCCCTCAAAATCCTCCTATTAGCTTCACCTATCTCAACAGAAACCACTGCCCTCATGTGGATCCCAAGCCTGTGCAAAGCTACCTCTCCTCCTCCAATACCGGTGAATAAGGACAGCACACTAACACCATTAGGAAACATGTCCCTCAGCACCGACAAATGGTAAGCAACAGTATCAACATGGAATGAGTTGCCAAGAGATTTATATCTCTCTGTCTTGCCGACCCCTCTTGTGTGGTCCCTTGGGAAACCAAGTAGATATTCCACCTCATTAGGCTCCAACGGAGCAACCTTGTTTTTTCCAACCCAGACAAGATTCCATTTTCTGCACTCATCAATGACATATTTCTGAACACTTGGAGGTGGTGAATTGCCTGACCTTGCAAGAAGACTCTGGATCCGCTCGGTCGTCTTTGCACTTGCCACAGTTGTTTGCAAGCAATTGAGTTGTCTTCTCGGGTCCCAAGAAGGCCACCACTTCTTATAATGAGGAAATGCCTCAAATATGGTCTTTGGAGGCAGAGGAAGAAGAGGTGATCTGTTCTCAATTGGCAAATTATGGATGTAGCCTCTTTTCCTTGCAGCTGCAGACAAATGCATAGAATCCACAAACTCTGGTTCAATGTCATACAGAAATCTTGAAATGGTCTCCCATACACCTCTTGGAGTTCGGGCCACATTTTCATAGTAGAAAAAAGGTGGTCCAATAGCTTGTTGAGGAAGCATTCTCATCACTGATGGCCGCCTATAACCGGGCAGGTTAAATCCAACCATTGGATTTGGGAGAAGCATTGGTTCATCATCGCTACCATCCAAGGAAGATCGATTGCCATGTGCTCCACCTCCATATCGCTTCCTCTTTTTCTTGCGCTCTTCCATCAATCTTGTTTTCTTTCTCTCTCCAAAGGAATCAAAGCATCTATCCATAACCTGCCAAATGTCACAGATTTCAGTGTCCTTACATCAAATTAAAAGAGCGAAACTGTTATCGTATTCACATGTACATCAAACCACAACGCACCTGATCGTCACATAAGTTTGTGGAATGGCAATCTCCTGCAACCCGTGATGCACTGATCGAATCAACTAATACACAGAGATCAGCATCCACACCTAGGAAAATTGAAACAGGAATTTATATAGCACAAGGTGCCTTTAACATGAAAGAAGGACCGTCAAGGAAACAATTTGAAAATGAGGCATACCACATGTTGTCATAGCCATACTGGCTTCATCTTCAGAAAAGCCCATGTCTACTAATAAGTTTATCTTCTCGTCCTTCGCTGACATCTCTTTTAGAAAATCCTGCACAAAGGTACAACAACAAACCGAGATTAGAAAACAATAGTTATATCTCATTAACTTTTTAATGCCAACTATGTGACTCCTGATAGGGAAATACAACTACATAGCGACATGTATAGGGCCAGAGAAAAGAAGGGGACCTACAGCTAAATGATCAAGAAATGAATAGCACAAACTACCCAAGAATCAAGAGAAAGAAAAACTGATCAAAAATTAAATCAATGAAATCATTTAGGAACTTGACTTCTTATTCCCCGGCGCTGTTTGAAATGACGTTAATACAAAAGGTACTGTATGCATGAACACAAATGCTCATCATTTTACACTTGAGCAACTATGCACACTAGCAATATGAAGCACTGGTGCTGCTGGACTGGAATAAACTGAAGGTACATGTACAACTTTGTCGTTTCATATGATGGCACTCTGTGTTGGATGCATATCAGTGGTGAAACACAGTTATCTGGTCTCTTCATGCTGCTTGCGTGATAGAAAGTTAAAAACTGATGAATGATGATATCTGTGTATTTTCAGGAGAACATGACGATATTCCCATTCCTCCCATTTCAGGTTATCGCCTTCCTAGGCAAGATGTTTTTTTTGGCTGAGCAGGTGCAATACAAATCAAACACTACATACTGTTTCCCTGTCTGTTGTGTTCAGTCAACTTTATGAAAACTGGTTATCACATCATATATTACATGCTGAGAATTCCAAATTAGTGACTTCGTCTATGCATTTCTAGCAGAATATTTATGGACCAAATCCATCATTTTTCTCGGCTCTAACAGGTAGATGTTGCTCTTCTTGAGGTTGATCTTAGAAGGATATTTGATGCAATTAGTGTGGTATGTGATGTTCTTTTCCAGTATTATGATTGTTTTGTGTAATTGAAAATAAAAAGAAGAATCTTGAACTATGCCATTCTACAGTGAAGAATTCTAAAATCAAGTGTTCAAACTCACAATGCAATTCTACAGTGATGAAAGGCTGGGAGCAAAATAAACAAAGCTCAAACAGAACGTAAAGGAGGTGCTCAAGGTATGCATGGCAAATACTTCCTCCGTTCCAAATTATAAGATGTTTTGGTAGTCTATAAAATATCATAACAAAACCTCTCATAATTTGAGACCGAGGTAGTATTTCACATATATCAGCATACAAATGATTTAAAAAGTTCTAGCAACATAACTAAAGATAAAGAATCATCTACCTCATCACCAGAACTATCAGAGTTGTGCTCTCTACCACCAGTATCATTGTCGTTATCCCAGTTATCGGAATCAAGATCATCATCATCATCATCTTGAACATTTGGGCAGGCGCAGCCAGAAGTAGAGCAATCACCCAATGCACCTTCATCACCTAGTGCCTGCATTTCATATCGCCTTATAACA